AATGCTTCCTCTGCCAGCACTGTCAGTAGTATCGTGATGTGTTATGGGTTATTGTGATCTAGTGACATTGAGATATATGGTAGCGTATGTACTTGGCTTCACTGAGCTTCTAGGCTGTCTAGTTTCAGGTAAGTACAAGATAACTTGTGGTTGTGCTTGAGTGATGTTGTGCTCACACACACACACTGGTCTGGGACTGTTGTTAGCCCTGCCTGACACTTTTGCTCATTTAACATGGATGGAGACATTTCTGTTTTCTTGTGCTGGAGGTCGCTCTGGATAAGAGCACCTGCTAAATGAATGTAATGTAATGTGAGGGCAACGTCCAGTCAGACGGTTATATGCCGCCTTCATCCCTCTCTCTTCTGATTTAGGAGAGGTTTAAAATGCCATCAAAGCCACCAATCGGCTTTAAGGCTTTCCCCTCCCTTTTCAGGTGAGGAAGAAGTGTGATTTGTTTATGTGGAAAAACAGTCGTTCCATTCTGTATCCAAGGATACCATGTGTGTGGAGCTATTTGATCATGTGGATGTGGATGTGTACCCCTATATAGGGCCTAAAGGAGCGCATGAATTGATCTGTTATGACAGCCAGGATGAAAAACTTTTTCAGGGATAAAGACTGTTAAATGAAGCTCTGTCTCCATCTGTTACTTCATTGTTATATAGTTCTGTAAAGTGAAAATATACATGACAAATACAGTCTGAGTTAAGGCTAAAGATAAGTGGCATGTCCTTTCCTGCACCTTCAGAATCTTGCTGTAGTATGTGTTTGTCTTTTCCCTCATTTTATACCACTGAAATGTTCAGAGAAAGCAATTACTTCATAAATCTGCAGCTTCTCCTTCCTCCTCCTGGGCTTTGTGGGGTGATCGGACTATTCCAGCTCTTCTTCACTTTGCACGTTAAACACTGTCAAAAAAGAGATGATGTCTGATAAGCTGTAACAAAAAGAAACCAGATCCAAATTCATTTCCTACCCTAACAATGGCACGCCTCCATTAAATTAATGTCAAATGTCTGAATGGGAGATAAGGCAGTAGGCTTTGGAGAAAACAAACACAGCACATGTGATGCGCATAATGTGCATTCGTTATAATCTATGCAGTGCCTCTTGTTAGTGATTGGGGTTCTGTGGTTGCTCGCTAGGTTATAAAGCAAGAACATAAGGAATGTTTTTATTGATTTGTCCCTAGCCCAGACTGGGAATAATAAGGCTTCCAATTATCTGCCATATATTATCTAAGGCACAGAATGTAACCTCTTCATATAGGGAACCATGGACTAAATTGTGTGTACTTTGCAAGAAATTTGCACAAAATGTTATACGGTTATTACTTATGCAATTCATGAAATATTTAATGAAAATGCAATCATTTAAAATGGAGCAAAGGAGAGCATGTTTCTGACAGTACCAATCATTCCTTTGAATTTTAGGTGTTGTCTGCTTGCTGTATGCCTGTTGCTATCATCCAAGCCCTCTCCTCTGATTTCATTTCAAATTTAATTCTTGATTTTTTTTTCTGTGGAGAACTGCAAATCAATCAATTTCAGGCAACATCAATTTTATACGAAAACGATGAAGGCAAAATATTGGTCGTTTTTTTAGAGGAACAAGCCCAGATGCTCTTGAATACAAGTGAAATGGCATGTGGAAAAAACCAAAGCCTTTATATCTATCATTTTTTGTGATATGCCCAAAGACCTCACACTTGAGGCCACTCTATTCTTCTCAGTTTTACTCTAAGGATACTCACAACATCCTGATTTGAGTCCCTGGAAATACTCTGAAACATACATGGATGCACTGTGCAACCATTGTGCTTGATTTTTTTCCCATTAATTACATATAGTATAAGTATGGATCAGGCTTTGAATTCTGGGCTTTGAGAACTGCAGTGCCTTTGTTCTGCACACGTTTGGTCACAAACCCACTGTGTGCTCTTCTTTCTTGCTGATGATGTCATAGGGCTGATCGTGAGATTTACACAATGCTTTACTCATTGACACCCTCACTTTGCTCACAGTTACATACATCTACAACCAGTCCATTCATTTTCAGGAGGAAGTAAATGCACCCGAACTCTCTCACGTCTCCATGGTACCATGCACATGCACACACACACACACACACACACACACACACACACACACACACACACACACACACACACACACACACACATAAATACACACCCACTCACCCACACAGATGTGCACAGATATAAGTACACATTCACATGCACACCTATACACACACACACACACACACATAAATACACACCCACTTACCCACAACACGTACAGATACATGTGCGCACACACGCACATTCAAACACACACATTCAGTATTGAATAGGAGATGTATTGGTTTTGAGGGACTTGTGACAGAATTGGTACTCGGGAATTGCGTAACAGAGAAAATCGGCATCTAACGATGCCATGGACCTTGAAATCTGCAAGGCTGAAATTGTGTGTGGGGCTTGTGTGAGATTGCCAGGTATTACCTTGAAAGGGATCATAAATAAAACCAGCTTTTCTCCGGGAAGAGGAGACAATTAGCTGCTGGTGTCCACAGAATATCTTTGCCTTTTTTTGATCTTCATACAGGTGTATGAATATGAATAATGAACCTTCATTTTCTGTGGACAATATGACTATGATTATTTTTATCAGAAATTTTCATTCTGTATGTACATTTTTTGTTGTTAAATGTGTCTTGTTCCTATTATTAAATCAGGGATATGAATAATTAATAAGGGCACTGCGTGTGTCTGTACACAGGTGATGCAGCCGATTTACTGCATTCTCAGAGCCGGCCTTCTGTTAGGAAGGAGTCATTTATTTTAATCCAGCTGAAAATGCCCATTGATGTGGATACCATGTCACCCTGTCACTACCTTCATGGGTGATAAAGGCCATGAATGATACATGTTTGTCTCTTTCATTGCCATCCATGTAGCAGATATCAGGAAGGGAAAGCAGTGTGGTGTAGTGGTGAGGAGCAGGACCCAAAACCAAAACGTTGCTGGTTCGATTCCCTGCTAGGGCACTGCTATTGTACCCTTGGGCAAGGCACTTAACCCACACTTGCCTATGTACATATCCAGCTGTATAAATCAATAGAATTGGAACCTACTGTATGTAAGTCACTCTGGATAAGAGCGTCTGCTAAATGACAATAATGTAATGTAATCACATGGACGCTGGTTTAGTCCATAAACTGGCGCTGTGAATTCATTACTTGGTGGGTGATGTTTCATAACCAGATCTGCCGCATACTCTGCCAGCATAAGCCCCCTACCTAGCACTGTTGCAACCAGGAGTTTTGACCACTCTATCTTTGAAGAGTTAATGCTATTAAGGAAAAGACAGACTGTTGGATTCAAGTCAAATCCAATTTGCCAGCTAGCAAATTGAACTGAACATCTTTACAGTCGCAACAAATTACCCCAGCATCACCATCTGAATATTAGACTCCGATCACAACCCACGCAGATGTTATTTATTCAGTTATATGTTACATATATTTCTCCTGTTTAATTTTCTACACACATTTCTCTTACCCTCCCTGACACTGTTTCCCTAATAGCACAAACTGGTTTAAACTTCTTCGCTGATTGGTATTCTGGAATCATAAATGACAAATACTTTTGCCGGTAACATGAGGACAATCTCCGAGAACCCAGCAAGCTCTACCTCTCTAATATCTACCTCTGAGAGAGACTGGCACCCTCAACACCTCATGAAGAAATATCACACCTTGTAACTCGGGTCACCTGAGGCATGATACTAGAATGAAGGTTGACTGCATGGTTACCTCACAGAGCCCAGAACACAGAACCAAAGTGGGAATGTGTGCATATTAGTGGTACGCTTGTTTCTCTGGGCTATTTCCATCGAACTGCTGCTGCCCGTCACTGTGGTATTTCCGTTAGTTCTTTTTGGGTAAACAGAACAGCCATTGGAAAGAAGTCTTGAATAACTTTGCAGAGGAAAAGCTAATAAAGGACACTTGATGTTAAGTCATCTGTCGACAGGCTGAGAGGGTAATAAGACTAATGGACTGTGATGGACTGCTTTTAGAGTCTTTTTTTTACTCAGACTTGCTGAAATACTCTCTGCTGACAGAGACAGGGCGAACAGCTTGCTATCATTTCTGACGCGGTGTGGCCGGGGCGCGCTCCCCGCACCCGTCCGTCCAAAATCATTAGCGCTCTCTCGGCGCGGGAGGAGACGTCGGCGCAAGCCTGAAATTGAATTTAACAGGTGAATTTAAAAGGTGATGTTAGCAGGTGTCCTCTCTGGGTTACTGGCGATTCAGACGTCACAGTAGACGAAGGAACGCGAGCGCCACTGTACCCACCAGTCATCCGTCACTCCTTTTGTGTGAGGGAAACCCTGCAAGCGGCCCTTAGGGGTTTCAGCACGGGCCGTCTGTCCACTGTATGGAATCAGGATCAGGGCTGTCAGGGTTCCCTTGAGGTTAAGCCATACATTTTTATAATATAGGCAGGATACTCAAGAAATGTACGTCTTCGTCTATGTGAAGGTATGCTTGCATACTTACTCTGTATCACAGTTGCTCAGTGCTGCTTTTTAATATCTATATATTTTATGCACACATTGTAAAATATATGATAAAGTTATTATATGTTATTGATATTGTATTTGTTGGTATTGTATAAGCTACACACTATTCACAAACTGTGTACACTGCATACAAATTTCATATACAGGTACATGGATATACTGTGACAGATAATGTGTATGTATACAGTTACATATGCTGAAACACAGTTGATACTTTATTGGTTGATTGAGCAATGAGTGCTGCCTATTTTCTGTGTATGTTGAAATGATTTTTCCTCATATTTTGAGTTTCCCATTTTCCCACACATGCGACTAATGTATAGTGGATTTGAATGGAAAAACTGCTCCATCCAGCAGTGGTTCACAGCAGCCATTGGTTCATGACTCAGAACAGCTGCTGTATCGGGCAACAGTGTGGTGTAGTGGTGAGGTGTGGGGCTTGTAACCAAAAGGTTGCTGGTTCAATTCCCCGCTGGGGCACTGCTGTTGTACCCTTGAGCAAGGTACTTAACCCAGAATTGCCTCAGTAAATATCCAGCTGTATAAATGGATAGCATGTAAAAATTGTAACCTATGTTAAGTCACACTGGAAACGAACGTCTGCTAAATGCAATGTAATGTAAGGGAACATGGCACTAATACAGGAGAACTATGGATGCAACCTTGCATTGTTGCATGATAGTTTGTGCTTCTGGTGAAAGACTTTTTCCATTGTTTTCGTGATGTGAAAATTAACATTAAAAGAATGGCTCTGGACCAGTTGGAAGCCCCATTGTGCCACACATTGCCTGGCTGTGTCCTTGCATTCCTGCTGTTGTTACCCATGATAAGCATTTTGATTCATGGAATTACAATTCGGAGAAAGACACAGCCTTGGTCCCCTGACAAAGAGTCAGAATAAATGTAGTCTGCTAGGAAGAAGGCTAATAATAATAGACTGTAATCACGGTAGCAATATGCACTCTATTATTGTGGTCATATTCACATTATTTTTTTTTGTTTAAGTTTAGATTTGACAAGGGTAAATTTTCTCCGAAATGGGCAGAACGGTGCTGCTAATGAGAATGTAACGCATTGTAATTTATATGCAGAAACGGCTGTACACTGTTTACAATTTACTGCAGGGACTGATTCATTTTGCATATTGGAATCCTGTGAAAATGAATTAATTTTACTGTAAATGTGAAAAAATGTAAATGCTCCATGTTTTGGGAATACATTTTGTCTCCCAGATTACTCATGAGGAAATTATTTTTGCATAATTGAAACACCATATGGCGGTGGTTGTGGGGTTGGAAGGTTTAGAACACATTACCACAGGGTGGGTGGAGCTTCTAGAGAGAGCAGTGCATCTGTTTACCCAGTTCACTGTAGGGCCTGTATCATTGGACCTAATGGTACCACTCCTTGTTTCTTATACTGGACTCAGTGCTATGGTACCACTCCCAGTGTCTCATACTGGACTCAGTACTATGGTACCACTCCCAGTGTCTCATGCTGGACTCAGTACTATGGTACCACTTCCCAGTGTCTTATACTAGACTCAGTGCTATGGTACCACTTCCCAGTGTCTTATACTGGGACTCAGTGGTATAGTAACACTCCCTTTGTCTTAACTGGTGTAACTATATTAAACAAAATGAATCACCCATGCAAAGAAATGATATAAAGATATGTTAAAAGATATGCTGAGAGATATGTATGCCTACATGATTACATAATGGGACAGTTATATAATTTGTATCTTGTGCTTTACAGTGTATTGATGAGTTTTACTTTTTCAGGGAGGAAGCGCAGGGGTGTGAGCATCTGGGCAATTTTAGATGAGCGGCGAAGAGAGTAACCCAGGTCAGCTTCATACGCGTTAGCTGCGCAGGATTCAGCGCGTGGCAGGGGAGTCCATGGAAGATAGATTTACTTTAATCAGCCCAATGATCTGGGTTTAGAGGCAACTTAGGAGCCCTGGTGGACCGAAATGAAGGGAGTAATGATTTTTTGGAAAAGGAGCAGAGTGCGCGATCTGGAAGAATCAAGCCCTTCCCAGATGTCGGCTGTATTTATGACGGACGTCTCGCGAAAGAATATCGATCCGTGCCGTCTCCCTGCTCCCGGGCACATTACAGAATTGTCATCGCCCTGCATTTGCACTCCTGATTCATAGGCGCAATATTTAAGATATTTGCAGGTACCTTCAAAATGTCTTGACAGATATGATTGGTCTGTAGGCTTAACGTTTTCTTTTTTTTTTTATTCCTGCAAATTGAATTCCACAGCAAGGCCTAAAAGGCAGAGTGCAAAAAGAAGATGGTTTCTCTTGGATTATCACAGAAGGGTCATTATATAAAAACTGCAGAGTGCTGCAAAAGTTAGTGGAAACCTGGAGGCGTTGATTAGTGTCTATTATACCTGACCTTATTTGGTGCTCATCATCTTGAGATTGGGAAGTCTGGTGCATATGCTGGATGGCACGATGTTGCTTGTGGGTAAAAAGGTCTGCATGCATTTTATTCACCTTTTCCACCTGAAAACACAGAGCGTAACAAGACAGCGCAAATGTTTTATTAATGAGGCGAAATATCCCGCGTCCCGGAACGAGGTGTTCTGAAAGAGCGGTCGCCACGGCGTCACAGTGGCACCGGCGCGGGAGGGAGAATCGCCATCATCGCCGCGCTTCTTTTGTTTGCTCTTTTTTGTTTGTTGTATTTTTTTTTTAACGTTTTATGAATCCTACGGCTCATATCTTCTGACAGATCATAAATCAGGCCCCGCGGGTCCCGGGAACAAATCCCACGACTTTCCCGCACTCTGATTTTCGAGTGGATTAGAAAAGTGCGGATGTGCCATGAAAGATATATCACACAACCGCGCCACTTTCCCGCTTTCAGATGAAAGGGCGGGAGAGGCTGAAAGAACCTGTCAAATGACTAATGAATGTGTGTTTAACTGTATAGTGTGTGTGTGTGTGTGTGTGTGTGTGTGTGTGTGTGTGTGTGTGTGTGTGTGTGTGTGTGTGTGTAAGTATATACTGTGTGTGTGTGTGTGTTTACGCATATACTGTATGTGTGCATGTCTGTTTGTTTAAACATATACTCTACATTTGTGTGTGTATGTGTGTGTGTGTTTAAGTATCTACATGTGTGTGTTTGTCTTTGATTTATGAGGCTGCTATTGTTGTCATTGTCATAACATATATTATAGTAACACTGTAATATTATTCACTATAAGACATGATGACGCACACAGGCTGCAGGGGCAGTTTGTACCTCCTGTTCTGTTTTTCTCCTTGCAAAACAGGGATTCTTCACAAAGTTCACTGTAGTTTTATTCCATTCTTCTGAAGAGAGGTGTAGGGGAGAGAGGGCAGTAAGGAGGTGGAGAGAGGTGTGGGGTGTGTGTGTGTGTGTGTGTGTGTGTGTGTGTATGTGTATGTGTGTGTATGTGTGCGCACATGTGTGTGTGTTTGTATGCAGATGTGTGTGTGTATGTATGGTGTATGTGTGCATGTGTGTGCATGCGTGCGTGTGTGTGTGTGTGTGTGTATGTATGTGTGTGTGTGTGTGTGTGTGTGTGTGTGTGTGTGTGTGTGTGTGTGTGTGTGTGTTTGCGTGCATGTGTTGTGTGTGTGTGTGTGTGTGTGTGTGTGTGTGTGTGTGTGTGTGTGTGTGTGTGTGTTTGCGTGCATGTGTTTGTGTGTGTGTGTGTGTGTGTATGTGTGTGTGTATAGAGAAACATGGGCAAAGCGGGCAGATCAGGCTGCCACCCGTAGATCCCTGTGAGCTGATCGTGGGACAGGGCTGTTGGGGTGATGGATGTTCAGGGTGGCCCTGGAAGACATCAGTGATTTATTTTCCCGGGTGGATAGATGAATACATCCGTCACTTTTTTCCATCTCTCCCCCACAGGAGAGTGCAGCTGCCATGAGGGATACTCCCCTGACCCCGAGCACACGCACCTCTGTGTTCGCAGCGATTGGGGGCGCAACGAGGGGTGAGTCCGGCGCCCGCCCCGACCCCGCTGTCACTCACAGACTCCTCCTCCTGACCCTGACCAGGTTTTCCCATTAACTCTGGGCAGTAGCAGCTGGGCTGCCACCGTGCATCGCCTGCTGTTTCCCTGAGCCCAGCCCCCTCTCTCACTCCCATCCACTGTGACTGATGCATGCCATGTGCAAGCCTTATGCCATCCTCCACCTGGCCCTGAGCCAGTCTAGCCACCATGCGTTTTACAAAAACACCGAATTTAAAACTAGTGTTGTGGTTATGATTTCTTACATAACAGGTGTAGTTCTTGGTGTAGTTGTAGTTTTGTATGTGTGGTTGTTGCTCTTCTGTAGCAGTCCTGTAGGATTCCTGTAAGGAGCTCTGAAATAGTCATGTTTCCCCGACTGGATTGAATTCATTTCATTTATCTGCCGCCAAAATAGAATATTACAGTACCAGTCAAAAGCATGGACACACCTACTCATAGAGGGGTTTTTCTGTTACTATTTTTCATATTTTAGAATAATAGTAAAGACGTCAAAACTATGAAATAACAAATTAGGCAATGACCAAAAAGTGTTAAACAAATCAAAACTTATTTATTTTATATTTTAGGTTCCGTAAAGTAGCCAAAAAATATTTATTAAAAATATTTTTTTGGAAAGACATTCATACATACACATCAACTCCACGATTTATATTTGTCTAAGAAACAAATTTCAAGCATTTAAGCATAAGTCTTTAGATCAAAGCGTCTTTGAATGCATGTTTCCCATTATCTAAATCAGGTGTGTCCCAGCTGCTGTACTGTACTGCAGCTTGGATGCACACATAGTTCTCCCTATCCACCCTGCAAAATATGCTAACATATAATCATCTGATATTTTTAGTACATATTTCTTTTCAACTGCAACTGCAACTGCAGTTATAAATTTTTTGCGCTTACATCGATAGCCATGTGCATGTAGGGTGGAGTGTTTTTGCAAAATGGCATATATTGGAAAAATATATTCTGCAATATGTACCTGAAACTCCATGTGTGGTAATACTTGGGTTGTACTTCACCTCAGAGTCTAGGGCAACGGTTAACGATGTGATGAAAATGTAACAGCTTCACAGCATTAAGTTGTAGTTACCTGGACTTCCCCCAGAGAGTATGGCTCATTACACAGAAGCTAACAGCAAACAGTTACACCAAAGTGAAATGGTTTCAGAGCAGTGCAGTTATGTCCTAATAGCTTATATATTTTAATTACATGTCATAAATGTGAATGTGTTTATTATAATATTGTCTTCATTTTTAATTTCTTATTTAAACATATTATTGCTATATGCTGTATTCCCTCTTTGTAAAGGCCAGTAGAGATTGCAATAAATACATGATGTTTAATCATAAATATTAACCTGTGTCACTGTTTCTGTGGCAGCCCCTGGCCCTACACAAACCTGGAAAAGGGATACGACCTGGTCACCGGGCAGCAGGCACCAGAGAGGATAT